ATTACTACACATAGATCAATACATTTGTAGCAGGTTACAATGGTTTATTATTACACATAGATTAGTATGTTTGTAGCAGGTTACAATGGTTTATTATTACACATAGATCAATACATTTGTAACAGGTTACAATGGTTTATTACTACACATAGATCAATACATTTGTAGCAGGTTACAATGGTTTATTATTACACATAGATCAGTATGTTTGTAGCAGGTTACAATGGTTTATTATTACACATAGATCAATACATTTGTAACAGGTTACAATGGTTTATTACTACACATAGATCAATACATTTGTAGCAGGTTACAATGGTTTATTATTACACACATATTTTTGGTAAGTTACCAGTAGTAAAAGAAGAAAGGTGACAGAATACTTTCAAAACAAAACTTACAATCTCATGACTACTATAAAGCACAGGGTAAGAAATGTATGAAGGAACCAAAATTCTAAAACACTAGCAGGAAATGAAACTTTATGTTTAACAAAATCACAGAAAACAAACAAAAATGAAACATTTTGGTTTATTTCGTTGTGACGAAATACATCAGTGAAGAAATGTGCATGTCAACAATTGTAAATGAGTTAAATATTAGGTTTTACTAATTATATAATTAATTACTTTAAACAGATTTCAAGGTTTCGTCCACACAGGTGTAAAGTTAAAAACATCCTAGATGAGAAACTAAGCTTAATGGTAGATCAAAAGAAAAATATATATACTTGTTCAGTGTTTAGAGAAACGTACGTCAAAATAGAAACTTTAAGTAAGGGCCATGATTATGCTGTGGTTATAAGTTAAAAAAAATAAATAAGAGAGATAGAGGATCCGAACACATTGTGGACTGTAGATAAAGTCTTGTACTTAAAGACAAACACTGTGATGAGAAGATTTACTGTATAACTTGAATACATTAAGGTTATAATGTGAAGAAAAAGGAGTGAAAATTTAAACATGCTTTGGTCATGACGTATAAAAAGAAAGATTACCATGAAGATACTGGTTATAATAATACAAAAATTATAGAACCCAAAGTGATCATACACAAAACATCTTGGTTTGTTAGATTTTACTTGAAAAATAACGTTAATTTACTTAAGTGGTCTGCTGTGATTTATATAAAATACCATTACGTTAACCAAATACAATATATCTATTTTAAGAAATGATCAATTATTATACAAGTATATTGGTCTGATTCAAGGTAGAATGGGGGTATTGTATGAATAGTGAAAAGTTAGAGAAGATAAGGACAAAGTACCTGTTTAGTCTTATGACACTATCTGTGTACTTGGTAAAGAGGATGGCACCATGAGAGCATGTTGGAGCAGAACTCGCATTGTGTTGTCTTCTGAATACTACAACCTGATGAGCTATCAGAACATAACTTTGTACCAAACAACGTTCAAGAAGTGGACTTTCACTGTTCATTAGGTAAATAAAACCTGAAATTATTAACTATCCTGGAAATGCTTAAATAAAATAATAAAAGTTTTATTGTAAACACCATTTATTTAAGTCATTGGTTTGTGACCTTGGTGAAACTACACAACTACGGCGTTGTCTTGGAACCTGTACAACTGAAGCATTGCTTTGTGACCTGTACAACTCAAGCATTGCTTTGTGACCTTAACTGACTTGTACAACTCAAGCATTGCTTTGTGACCTGTACAACTCAAGCATTGCTTTGTGACTTTAACTGACCTGTACAACTCAAGCATTGCTTTGTGACCTTAACTGACCTGTACAACTCAAGCATTGCTTTGTGACCTTAACTGACCTGTACAACTGAAGCATTGCTTTGTGACCTGTACAACTGAAGCATTGCTTTGTGACCTGTACAACTCAAGCATTGCTTTGTGACTTTAACTGACCTGTACAACTCAAGCATTGCTTTGTGACTTTAACTGACCTGTACAACTCAAGCATTGCTTTGTGACCTTAACTGACCTGTACAACTCAAGCATTGCCTTGTGACCTTAACTGACCTGTACAACTCAAGCATTGCTTTGTGACCTGTACAACTCAAGGATTGCTTTGTGACCTTAACTAACCTGTACAACTCAAGCATTGCTTTGTGACCTTAACTGACCTGTTCAATTCAAACAATACATTATGACCTTAATGGATCTACAGTGAAAATATTGACTTTGAAATCTGTTTATGTTAGTTGGAAGTAGGAAGACATTACTTCAGCAGTGCTTAGAGAACAAACTGAAAACAATTGAATAAGAAGTGTGATGTGGTCTCATAAGTCACTTTTCATCCATTTCTGTACTAATTGTAGAGAAGAAACTATGGACAACAGTATATATATTGGGTTTGTGGCCTTGTTTGTATTATTCTAAAAGTAAAGGTTATGTAAACATGAGAGGAAGACTAGTAATAATGACAGTCGTCATTACAGCCGACTTAGAGTTGAAATACTTTAGTGAGCCTGTTCCTTCTTCATTAGTGAATTAACAATGGTACGTGTACATCTAAAGTCATTTTAATGGAATTTTGTTACAGAAACACAAGTGGGTACATGAACACAATTTGTGAGAATCATTATATTAGAGAAAAAGTTGTTATTTTGAATCGACTCCACCAGTAGAATTCATGTTTGCTCTATCAACAAGAGTGATATACATTGATGATAGTAAGTCAGAGAATCCTAATGGATGGATCAAACAAGAGTGATATACATTGATGATAGT